TATACCCGTCCATGAATAGATGGTATAAGTTCAAAATTTTTGAATTAAATTTTTATATTAATTTTTATAGTACTTAGTTCAAATTTTTATATTCTTATTATTCAATTATTAAACAATAGATAATTTTGTAACATAGAGTATAAATGAAAAAAAATTGGTAATTAAATTTATTGAACATTATAAATAAATATTTAAAACTAATAATGAGTACAAAGAGTTGTATAAATTGATAACTTGTTTGGCAAAAATAAATTTAAATGAGTTTACCAAAAGTTAAAATAAATAAGTTGTAAATGGGTAATTGAGTTACCCAATTCATTTTTTGACTTACCCATTTATACTTATCTAATTAAATGGGTATAAATGAGTTAATTCACTTATACTCATTACCCATTTTATCCAACCCAAACCCATCCAAGTCACCCATTTCGACACCTCTACTCCATACTTTATATTCGAGCCCAACATTTTTGTTTTCCCACTTTAGCTTTCTTTGTGAGGACTCGTAAAAACTATTATTTTATGCCTAATTTATGGCTTAATAAATTATTTAATTGGATTTTATTTCCAAGGAATATTTTCTAGTCTTATGAGACCTAAACGCATGATAATATAACTTCGTTATATTTTTAAAATGATTCGTTTCGAAAATTAATTTCCTAGAGCGCGTTTCGTAAAAATAGTGAATAGTGCTCGGAGATTTTATCCGCGTAGTAGCACAATAAGCTTGGAATATTGGGGGCTTGTACTATGGTCCTAAAATAGGTAATCTTATGAATAAATACTCAAGTGATAGTTAGTAGTGCAATCGTTATAGGAATTTTTCGAAAGTTCTGCGTATAGCGGTAAAATTTGACGGTACGCGTTTTCACACGCGCGACTTCAATTGAAGGACTTTAGACCCTTATTTCGGGACAATTAAGAGTGAATAATGTTTATATTAACATGAGTGCATTAGAGGTTTAGTGCACTAGTGAACCAAACGCGCGAGAAAATCGAGCCTAAAAACGTGCCAAACGAGCCTTACAAGAGTTGACTTTGGAGCAATTTTTCACCACACATTTAATCTTCTTGGAGAAGCTAACTTAGATCAAACACACTCTCTCTTCTCTCTCCTCACAGCCGGCCAAGCTCTCCCTTCTCTCTAACTCATTTGCAACAAAAATTCTGCACACTAACCTCACTCAAAACCACCCCAAATCACCTCCAAATCACACCAAACTTGGAGACCACTTAGCAAATCTCTTGGAGGTTGGTTTTAGCTAACAAAAGGCTGCATCTTCACGGTTTCTTGGAGCTTCAAGAGGGCCGAAATTTTCTGGTCTTGCACACCCAAGGAAGAGGTAATGATCAACCCATGAATTCTTGTCTTTTGGAGGTTATATAGCAAGATTAAGCTCATGCATGCACTTAGTTACTTGATTATGGTGTAAAAATGTGATTGTGGGCTCTTGGAATTCCCACACTTGGGTTGTTGTTGCTGATGTGATGATTGATGGTGATTATATTGTTGGTTTAGTGATTATAATGATGCATTAGTGATGGGTAATTAGTGGAAACTCCTTTGGGTGTAAGAGGCTAAAACTTCCGATTTTGCCCCTGCTATGTTCGGCCATTTCCAGGCCAAATTTTAATGGTTTAATGGCTTGGATTGGATGTTTATAGGATGTATTTGATGTGTGAAAAAACTTCATTGGAAAATATTGGGGTTTGATGGAGCAAATGAATTTTTGTTCGAAACCAGCAAATCTGGAAACTGTCTCGCGTATGCCTCTGACCAGCAGTAGTATTTTGGCTATAACTCTGTCCTCGGATGTCGAAATCATGTGCCGTCGGTGGCGTTTGAAACTAGACATTCCTAGCTTTAATTTGGTATATAATGCACGTTCTGATTCCTTGTGACCAAGTCGAACCAAATGTTTTAAGTTCGCTGTCCTGTCACTCTGTTCATCTGGAATGAAGTGTTCAGGCAGCAACTTGATGCCCGAATTTGAACCCGATGGGTGCCGAATTTGGGAATGATTTCTTCTGTGATATTTTAACTCTATGAATGTATTTTCCAACGGCGTAAGCCACGCTCGATTCCGAGCTATATTGACTGAGTTGTGACTGAAACAAGTGGACTGCTCTGTTTTGGAAAACCCTAATGTTTGGACTGGTTTGGAACCAAATCTTGGAGTGAACTTGTTAGTTGATGTTTTTGATATTAAACACTTACCAAAGATATTATGGGTGTATCTTAGACCCTTATTTTACAAATGAACCATGGTTGGATAACTTTCTTGGTTAAACGATTGGAAATTTGGAAAATGAAAGTCAAAGGCAGATTGCCTTAGGATTTTTCTTGAACTTTGGTTGGCTAATTAACTACCTTGCCGAAGGTATTTTTCCCCGAAATTCGATATAGGGATACTTTCCATATAGTATTGAAATACTGCCAATTTTGGTGCCGATTCAAGTTCGTTTCGATACCCAATTGAATTACTAAAGTTAGAGGTTCAAATCTGGAAAATTCTCATCCAGTCTTGAATTTGCTCAACTTCGGGCTACCGTATCTCGGTGCTCGAAACTCCGATTCTTGATCCGCTTGTTTTGTCATACACTTCACTTAATTGAGCTGAAAATTTCAGAGGCCGGTTTGCAACGTGCGAATCGTGCCGAATTTTCAAAGTTGGCCGAAATCCAACTCAAATCTGCCTTGTAAACTGAAGCTGCGTCTTCAAACCCATTTTTGATCACTTTCCGCCTCGATTCATGGAAAAGTGTCTTCTAGGAACTTATAGTACTCTCTCAGAGGATTCCAACGGTATAAAGTTTTCCAATTCTCGACTTATATCGAGCGAGTTACGATTTTTCAAAGATTTATCGTAAAACTGAAAAATTTTCCAATTTCAAAGAAATAGAGTTTTTCAAAAACTCTTTATTCTTTTGATGTTCTTAAACGTTTTGTTTACGATTTTCATGATCAAAACTCAAATAATATTGTACATGATAAAAGGCAAGTTGAACCTCGATTTACGTGTAATTGAGGTTCCTTTTTGCAAAATAATTCTTAGATTGTACTAGTGAACAATCTTTCTTGATAAGTGGGTTAATTGTGTAATTATCCACTATTAAATTGCCAGGCGCGCAAGGAGACCTTCAAGAGGATCTCACCGTGGACACTTGAACTTCCGGGAAATAATTCTTATTGAATTGCTCGGTGAGTGTCAAGTGTATGAATTTGATACTTGCTTATTGTGATACTTGTTGGGAGTTTTAAAAATAAGGGCGGGTGCGTACTTTATCGCACTCGTTCTAATTTCAAATGAATGAATGAATGAATGAATGAATGATTGAATGAATGAATGAAATGCAATGTCATGTCATGAATGCTTGTGTCGTTGGAGTGAATCTCCTCGACTACCAAATGAATGGGGGACGCCCAAACTCATAGGCCGTCCTTAGACTCGAGCCAGCAATGGGCTTGGTCGGGGATTTGGACGAGCCATGAGATTATAAGCTCGACCTAATAAGAGGTCCTGCTTGGCATACTCGCAGAGTATCGCCCAATAATAGACTTGTGGGCCCTTGAGGTGTACGGTGGACGGAGGGAAGTAAGTGGTGATCTACGGAAATGGAAATACCGACCCGGTTGACAGGAGGGTCAATGCGGGAAGGTATACGAATGACAACGGCAGATCGAGTGGAACTTAGCTCCTGAGAGCTACTATATCCTTGAATTGTTTCTGATTACTTTTCCTGTTTGAATAATTGATTATTGAAAAGACGTGATTTTATTTATTAAGTTGGGATTGTTATTTGATTACGTGCTTGCATGTGTGTTCTTGGCCTCACGAGCGTTTAGCTCACCCTATAGTTTTGTTTTCCTTAACAGGACCGACTCTTGGAGAATTATGGAGAAACCATCTGTTGTAATTTTGTTAAGACTCCTGTTATATATCTTGACTAGGCCCTGGTTTGGATTGTACTTTTGGAAATTGTAAACTTGAAAAGTTTGGGCCCTGATGTGTACTTTGAATTGAAGTCGTTTCATGATTACCCGATGTACTGGATATACATTAAGTGACTTATTAAGCTTGAACGCTTCCGCATTATTGTATTCATGTTGCTCTCGTCGAAGTGTTTAGTTCGATTTTAAATTGAATGGATTTGCTCGAGTCCTGGCGTGAGCTGGGCAGGCGTCCGCGGATACCCTTTGGTCCGCCTTAGGGAGATGTGGGGCGTCACATTCTTGCTTTGTTTTACCCTGAGAAGCAAGAATTTTCATGATAAACTGAATTTGTTCTTCACTACGATTTCTCTTGTGTTCCAACAAAGGAACGTTTAACTTAAAATAAATATTTCGACCAGGGGAAAAAAACCAGTTTAAAAACAACTACATATAACGGTTGAAATTAATCTGAGTCTATCACTCCATCCCCCCTCTTTTCTTTTATAGTGTAAGTGAAAGAAGAGCTCGTTACTCTGTCTCACTATGTCTATTGATCCTTCGTTTTACTGCAAAAGCTTGATGAACAATACCGTAAAACACAGTACAAGTTTGAACTTATTCTCGAGAAATTATGCCTTCCTGCGAGAAAGAAGCAAAAAGTTGAAAATGATGAAATAGTAACATGCAATTGCATATTTCATGATAGAAACTAGCAAGACAAGCAGCCACAGACCGTGGTTCACGCACAATCAAAATAATATATTGCATGAAAAAGAAAAACAGAGGAGAGAGGACCATGGGGCTATTAGCATTGAACCTCAACATCCGGTTCAACAAAACAGAGGAGCAACAAACATACGAGCTTAAGAATAAGTAAAAAGGAGAAACATCTACATATTTGTGAAAGGGGTGATCTTGATGACTAACTCAGGGAAAACATCATCTGGATCATGAATATGGGGATTCTGCTCAAAGATGTAAGGATCCCCACATTTTCCACTGATAGTATGCAGAATCTCTCCTTCACGTACCGCATGAATCTCATCACACGGCTGTTCAAGTAGTAATGAAGATAATATTTGCTGCTTCTACTGTTGCACTTCAAACTCCTCCTCAGTTGATTCACAGCAGCTTAACACCAACTTTAAAGCCAGGAACAAGGCACAGTACCAGAACACAATCTCTGCTAGAGCTGTCGATGGATGAATGCGGCCTGACATGTTATGCTTTAAATTCAACTCTTTCTCGAATTCGCAGCGACAATTGTTCTCTCTCTGTCTCTCTCTATAGCAAGTATGTGCATGCACGTGTACCAAAAAATTATCTCAAGTGGAGGAGAGTATTTGCAGGACTCATAGTATTGAGGATCAGCAGGAGTTAATGTTGTTGTTGCGAAGTAAGCTAGAGAGATGATGATGTTTGATTTGACGTGATAATCGTTTTGGAGTTCAAGTGCAGGTCATTAGAATGGTTAGACAGCAGTGTTCCTGCTAGAGGGACAAGATTGAAACGGGTTCGTTTCTTGCGGATCGTAGGTAACTGTCTCAAGTGAAGAAATATTGGAACATATGAAATGAAGGAGAGAAAGTTCGTTTAACTACTTTATTAAATGGTAGTGAATACTTGAGATATCTCTTGATCATAATTAAGAAAGCAATCATTCAACATTTTTTACTTGCTGTCGAGTCTCAAGTTTCAACCATCCTTCGCAGCACCATCCTCGAAGATGAACAAAATTCTTGTGCCTTAATCAGTCAACCGTCGTTACAAAATAGTTAGAAAAAAAATTTCCAATACGGTCAATCCCTACTCGATCACGCTTCTTGATAACTACCTGAGGGTACGAGAGACCTCTAGATTCTTTCCCCGTCCGACGTTTTCGTTTTTCTCTGTATCATCCAACAGCTTCGTCTGGTCTCACGATTCCAATTAGTTTAATACAACAATTTCCTAGATTTCATCTATGACCTTTCTTTTAGTCAAGCAACACACAAACAGTTTTCTGATATACTGATATTATGAGCAATCACTGCTTCCTTTTGAGCTCTGAACCAGCAATATGACCGCTTTCTTCGCGGTAAAAAGATCAAAGTTGTCAGATTCTTCCTTCTAAAATTATTGATCCCCTTTTTCATAAACTTACATCAACAATGTAATTCCAGTGTGACTTAATCTTTTGTAAAGTTTAAACCCATACGTATTATAAACGACCTATATTCTTATGTGATAACACAGTACCGAAACACTATGGTTTCTTTTGTTTACACATCTGACATTTTTTCATCCAACGTCTTTAAAGAATCAGTTGATCTTCATTCTACATTAAATGTATTTATCTATATACATACACTGATACATCTATACCTTCTATACAAAAAAACTTTCTAATTATCGAATGCAATCATATTACCAATTATCATCGTTTAACCTACTCCATAAAATTAAATTAAATTAACACAAGTTAGGGCAACGCGCGAGGCCTAAAAAACTAGTACTATACTAAAAGCGCGAGTTGGAGTTGCTACAGTGCTCATGGACCGGTTATCCGGTAATTTTGAGCAACTTCGGTGGCTTTTCATAGGCAGATAGACTGGTTATGCTGTAAATTTCGACAATTCTAATGGCATTTCATAGGAATTTGTTTGGGCTTGCCCTCTTGCTCCAGAGTTCAGACGCTAGAATTCTTTCCCCTCTCCCTCCAGTGGCATTTTTTAGGAAGCATATATGTGCCATATATAAAGCTTGATGCCCTTTACGGTGTTGTATTGTTAGTTCTTTTTTCTTCTTTTTATTTTTTTTTTGCCTTTATTATAAAGGGTAAAATGGATTTATTCTCTAACAAAATAATAAAACAACAATTTTACTATAACTTCAAATCTTCCTATATTTTTACGTTCAATTTCTCCATGTTTATCTACTATATTTGACGCACATTTCTTCAATTTTTCTTTATTAACATCACCGAAATTAAGCCCATGCACTTGTTTCCCCTATAATACTTCACTTTTGTAAGAGAATTATTATTACAAATATTTTTATTCTAATTAGTTATACACACATCTGAGTGTGCCTTAATCACTATTATGTATAACAAAAAAAGAATTACTGAACATGTTTGAACTAATTCTTGATAAGAAATTTCAGAAAAGTAATGTACTACCCAACCTTTAGCTTTAGATACTTTTATTCGTATTTTCTTCATTTAGAGTTTTAATTTTTGTTTATATTCTTAATTAGGCTTGCTATAAAAATTGAAACCTAGAAATTGGAACATTCGATTTGTTTTCTTAGGGTTTGGGTGTATGTATGGTGCAAGTTGGACCAGTTTTGAGTGCTTCAACTTTTAGATATAATATGGCATATCCATTATTATCCTCTTTAGCTCTCTTCGTGTAAGGCATTAATAGTGCAATATCATTCAAGCAAACTTTTCTTGCTGCAATAGAACGATGAAACTTGGCATCTTTGTGTTTGATTCATGTTGAAAGCAGCATCTTACATTTCCACTGTTTTGCAAATGTAGCTTTACGAAATATTCTTTAATTATCTTACATTTCAACCAAGAGTTTCAAAATACACAGTATACACTGAGTTTATTTGGATAGAAGTTTATTTGGATGGTTTATTTGAGATAATTATTGTAGCATATTTTATGATGTAATATATGTGAGATAAAACGGTGATTGAGAAGATGAAAAGGTAATTGGAATTTGTGAAGCAAATTATTTTTTTCAAATCATTTCAATCCAAACACACTCACTGTCATTTTTGGATACATGTCATATATACAAAAGTTGATATTAGAATTCAAATTTGGATTAAATAATATGCATTAAAATGTGAAAATGTATACGGTCAATATAAACAAGAGGGTCCTCCTATTTTGGAAAAAAAATTAAAAAAAATATGAAGGAATCCCGTGGCCATGTAAACATTTTTTCTTTTTCTTTTTTTTTTTTTGCAAAAGGATAAACTTTCTTCATAAAAAAAATATGCAATTTAAGAAATGGATTATAGTTTTTAAACTTTTACAGTAGTCCCAATTTTTCTTTCGAGCATGAAAAAATGATTCTATAAATACATATTTTTGGATTTTAAACATGAGTTTGTTACTAAAAATATGAAGGTATCCCGTGGCTCTGTAAACTTTTTTTTTTTTTTTCCAAAAGGATAAACTTTCTTCGTAAAAAAAATATGCAATTTAAGAAATGGATTATAATTTTTAAACTTTTACAGTAGTTCCAATTTTTCTTTCAAGCATGAAAAAACGATTCTATAAATACATATTTTTGAATTTTAAACACGAATTTGTTACCCCATTCGTAAAATAGATCCACTGCCTAAATTATGGGCAACTTCGGTGGCTTTTGCATCCGTGCTTCAGTTGTGTGCTTGGTCAACTTTGGTGGCCTTTGTGTTTGTGCTTCAGAGTTTAGACGTGTATTTGTATCTTCATCGTATAGTTGTAGTTGCTTGAGCTCCTCTGGTGAGTGGGGAGTGGGTGGTGTCCGAAGCAATTTGTGGGAACCGCACAAAGCTATATTGCCTATGTAATCTTGAGAGAAAGCCATCTGAAAAGCAACATATTGGATGTGTTTCTTTCTCCAATTGAAGACCTGGATTTGGCGGCTTTACAAGGTGAAGTCTTCGCACTCTCATCTAGCTGATCTTATTTAAACTTATTTCATTCTTGATTAGATACAAATAGTGTGTGCATAATCTTAAAAGTGATCAGCATCACCATATTTATGATATTTGTATGTACTTATACATTTTAAATGAATGCATCATTTATTTATAGTATCAATAATTCGCAAAGATCTTAAGCCAAAGACTGACTATCTAAGAGAAAATTATAAATCAAATGAGTAAACGAGTAACAGCAATATTCAATTTACCTAAAGTCAAATTCTCCACATTTATTAACACCTATCATGTATTAAATATATAACCATTTTACATTAATCCACTTGCCTTCATTTGATCTTGATTAACATAAACTCAGGACATCCTCACGCATTGCGTGAGGCTGAAAAAACTAGTTGTACTCAAAATAGTAAGTTCGGAAAAGTGCTTTGTGTTTCTCCATCTTTGCCTTGGACAACATCAAAACATCCGAAAGCGAACGGCAGTGGCATTAGGATACCAAGACTAGTCAAAATTTAGGCCTTGAATTGTCTTATTTTTATGTGGGCTATGCTGATTGCAATTCCGCCGACAACAGCAGTCTTTATTTGTCCAATATCCAGCCTTCCCCTTCCGGGCTCTAGAAGCCCATACCCCACATTAGCTCACAAACAAAAAACAAGTCGAAGTTCATAATCAATTGTAGTTTGTAATTTCCATGTATATATCGAATTCTCTACATCCATAGTTCTACTTCGATAGTTTCTATACTACCTTCCCCATAACGACCATAACAAATTTTTCTTCCACATATTGAACAGATAATTAATTTTTTGAAATTTGTAAGAAAAATTTCTAGAAGTCATGTAAAGTTTCTAGAAGAAAATTTAGCTCTAGAGAAAATTAGAGTGAAAAGGACATGCATTTCATTTTGTTGTGAGCAATAGTACGCTAGTACCAGGTACTTGCCTAAGAAGTTGAACACATTAATATTTAGAAGGGAAATGATGCCGGCGCATTCCCATTTGTTTAGCCACGTGTTTTTTGGGGGTACGATTTTAGCCACATTTCCCATTGCTTTAGATATTTTCTTAAAATCTCATGAACATTGAGATGGTGCAGATGGATATCAAATAGGACGTGTGCACATCATTTTCGCGTAAAATAGAAGAATTTGTACTTTTGTTTTGTTGGGGCGGGCCGGGGCGGGGGACCAAGTCAACGCCAGATATTTGTGGAAGTAAACAAGAAGTAACGAGCATTATATGATAAATTCTGTAAGGTATTCAGCTAATCCAAGACAGGTGTGAAAAGGTAAAGAATATGGCAAAGAATCCGGCACGTTGCAAACTGACATGTACGAATGATGAAGAAAATATTTCTAAAAAAGCAAGTGGTGACCTATAACAGGCGCGGGCGGTTTGGAAATGTTGTGTACTGCAGAAGCTGGAAATATATTGGGGTGTCACGAAATTAACATAAATATAATGGGTCTAGAAATAAAACACCGAAGAAGAAGCATAAGCAGTACTAAACACAGTCATGCTTGGCTTTGAAGCAACATATGGTTATTATTGAATAACGAGTTAAGGGCCTTTAAGAAGTGAAACTTAAGAAAATAAATGTTTGAAATATTAAGTTTTTTAATTATGTAATCTATTTTGATT